TTTCGTGGTACGAGGGCGGCGTGACAGCTGCTCACAGCCTATCAGAGCCTGCCACGTGTCATTGGAAAGTGAAGTCAAGTGCGTTCATCCCAGCAAAGTAGAAGCATTCTTGTTCGAAATACACGAAGGAGTGTGCGGAAGCCATCAAGGGGGAAGGTCGCTAGCTTACAGGGCCATTTCGTAAGGTTATTGGTGGCCATATATGCAGGCAGACTCAGAGAAATATGTAAAGAAGTGTGAAAAATGTCAGAAATTCGCACATCAAATACATCAACCAGCTAGAGAACTCCTACCATTAACCAGCCCATGGCTTTTCGCAATGTGAGGCTTGGACATAGTAGGACCACTTCCAACAGCACCCGGCGGCAGGAAGTTCTTTCTCGCGGCAACAGACTACTTCACAAAGTGGGTTGAAGCAGAAGCATTGGCATCAATCAAGGAAAAAGATGTGAAGAAGTTCGTCTGGCAAAACATCATCACTCGATTTGGCATACCAAAGGCCCTAATCTCAGACAATGGCACTCAATTCGACGGCAGAATCTTCAGAAGCTTTTGTGAAGAATACAAGATAGAGTTCTACAATTCTACACCAGCATATCCTCAAGCGAATGGCCAAACAGAAGCATCAAATAAAGTCGTCTTGGATGGACTAAAGAAAAGGCTAGAAAAGGCAAAAGGCAAGTGGGCAGACGAACTTCCTCATGTTTTATGGGCATACCGCACCACACCTCGGCGATCAACAGGAGAAACACCATTCTCCTTAGCTTACGGAATGGAAGCAGAATCCCACTAGAAGTTGGCCTCCCCACAATTCGAAGCGAAAATTTTGATCCAGACTTAAATGGAGAAGCCATAGCTTTAGAACTCGACCTCGTAGAAGAAAGAAGAGAAAGAGCACTGGTTCACATCGCCGCATACCAACGACAATTAATCAGAAAATACAACAAAAAGGTGCATCCAAGACAATTCAAGATCGGCGATTGGGTACTGCGCAAAGTAATGGGAAACACTTTGATCCCAGGAGATGGAAAGTTAGGGCCAAACTGGGAAGGTCCTTACAAGGTGGTTGGGTTAGCAGGCAAAGGGGCATACCACCTAGAAGACAAGGATGGCAAGGCAATCCCTAGGCCATGGAATACGGCCAATCTCAAGTTATTTTACTTTTAGCTTTTCTTTTTCAAACATGTGTAATTTTTTCTTCCTTCAATAAAATAAGAAATTCTTTTTAGCACGAGTTACTCTTTGTAGAAAGTTAGCTTTCAAGACTCAAGTATATTGCAAGCAAGGACGAAGGACACTTTCCTAAGCCCAGGATAAGGATCCAGGCTGCAGGACGTTTGGTCGGAATAACCAAACATTATTCTAAGTTAGCTGGAAAAACTAACTTCGAGGTTGGCTGGATTAAACCAACACTTTCCTAAGCCCAGGATAAGGATCCAGGCTGCAGGACGTTTGGTCGGAATAACCAAACATTATTCTAAGTTAGCTGGAAAAACTAACTTCGAGGTTGGCTGGATTAAACCAACACCCTTCCTAAGCCCAGGATAAGGATCCAGGCTGCAGGACGTTTTGGTCGGAATAACCAAACATTGTTTTAAGTTAGCTGGAAAAACTAACTTAGAGGTTGGCTGGAATAAACCAACACTTATTGCTCTTCAGCCGAAGTAAGGGAATCGCTGAAGAATGGTTGGCTGGAATAAACCAACTTTTTTCACTCTCCAGCCGAAGTAAGGGTATGGCTGCAGAGTGGTTGGCTGGAATAAACCAACACTTGTTGCCCTTCAGCCGAAGTAAGGTTACGGCTGAAGAATGGTTGGCTAGAATAAACCAACACTTGTTGCCCTTCAGCCGAAGTAAGGTTACGGCTGAAGAATGGTTGGCTGGAATAAACCAACACTTGTTACTCTTCAGCCGAAGTAAGGGAATCGCTGAAGAATGGTTGGTTGGAATAAACCAACTCTTTTCACTCTCCAGCCGAAGTAAGGGTATGGCTGCAGAGTGGTTGGATGGAATAAACCAACACTTGTTGCCCTTCAGTCGAAGTAAGGTTACGTCAGCCGAAGTAAGGGTATAGCTGAAGAGTGGTTGGCTGGATTAAACCAACTCTTGTTACTCTTCAGCCAAAGTAAGGGTTTGGCTGAAATTGGATTGGCTGGATTAAACACTTTGTACTCCTCAGCCGAAGTATATATATCGGCTAAGGAGTGGCTGGCTTGTAAGCATAGTTTAACCACCTAAAACCGAAATAACAGTTGCAGTAACAGAAGGCATTACAAAGTACAGGCACACATATCAGAACCGGAACAAGAGTTCAAGCAAAATTTTTCATTCATTGAAACTATTACAAAGAAGGTTCATAGTTCGGTTACAACGGCAAAAAGCAACAAAGAAAAAATACATAATCAAGAAAAAAGTTCTTCAATTTCGGCGTCAAAAGCCGCGTCACCAGCAACTTGAAGACCGGTTTCAAGAGGAAGTACACTCTCGGTTGCCAGGATGCTTTCGGTTGGAACCACGGTTTCATTTGGCTGTTCGATAGGTAGGCCCTCTACCATGGGTTCCAACCGAAGTGACGGGTCTGCACTAACAACCGGAATGTCCTCGGGAGCAGAGGAGTCATCAGAATTTGAGTCTTCCAGAAACTCTTGTTGTAAGGCATCCGCATACTCCGCAAGGGACTTCAATATAAAGTAAGCTGGAAGGTCGAAGACCTCAGTCTGTTGATCATGACCGAGCTTCTCAACAGCCGTCCTCCAGCCGCACTTGAAGAACAGCTCTTTGGCGGCGTCGCACTGTTTAACATAGGCATCTTCTGCCTTCTTATAACCCTGTTTGTACCCCTCATTTTCGGCTTCCTCCGCGCTCTTTTTTAGTTGAGTTATTTCGGTGTCTTTTCTCTTCTCAAGCTTCACCAACTCCCGCAGATACTTGTCTTTCATAGCGATGGCGGCTTTCTGCTTCTCCGCTTCAGCCGAATTAACCAGATCGGCAAGTCGGCCGTTCTCTGCTTGTATCTCGGCCATTTTCTTCTCAGCTTCTTCTAGCTCGGCCACCTTTGCCTCGGCCTCCGCCATTGCCTGCCTTGTGGTTTTTCTAATCTCCTGGACTTTCTTGTAAGTAA